AAGGCAATGAACTGAAGACCAATACAATCAACACGCAAAACTCTGTCGAAAATGAGTCTGATATGTCACAGCATGCGGAGCAGGAGCAGTTCATTTCCGAACAGAGTGGTAATTCATTTATGATAATTTGCTTGCGACTCATAACCATCCTTAACCCTTGCATCATTTACTAGTTGGAACGGCAGGCAGTCGCAAGGCCAAAAGGCGCAAGGCCAAAAGAGCCAAGCAACGCCGTGACTCAAAGGAAGTAGCTTTGATGGGTTGGAGCGGACCCTTTCCTAATCTCTCACCCACCCATAGTCTGGAGAGTAGCTCGGACGTGGATCAGCAGGTAAGTAGGCATTGTCAACGGCCCAAGCACGACACGGGCATGATCAGCGCTGTGCCTACGGCTGTTCCAGCTCCGGTGTCAAGACTTTCATTGACTTGTTTACATCGACGTGTACTTGTCTTGTTTTCTATCTCTCTATGTATCTTTGTTTGTATGTATGTATGTATATTGTATATTGTATGCAGCAGCTGCCCACTGACCTAAAGGCAATCTGTGCCACTGGGCTGAGCATCTTTCCCAGAGAGGACAAGGAGCAGCGGCCGCCGCTGTCATCATCGTCGTCTTCTGATTCTACTTCCTTCTCGCCAGTTTCCCAACTTAAAACGCCTGCAACAACGACAACAACATGTTTTACACTTACAACAAATTCGACTACTTCAAGTCCAAAGTCTACGCAGACAACCAACAACAACGTCAACAACAACGATACCAATTCAGCCTCAATGTCAATTGCAACCAGTTGTCCTCGTTCAGAACCATCATCAGAGCCAGAATCAGAATCAGAACCACAAGCTGATGTAGCAAAGCAGGTGGAATTTTAGGCTTAGTCTTCGAGACTGGCATTGCTGGGCAACTAACCTATTAATTTGCTTTCTCCCGCTCTCTTCCTCTCTACGCAGACAGTGAAGCATTCAAATGAACGGCCCTTCAGTGCCGCAGCTGGTATTGATACCGTCGCAAATTTAGACGCTGTTGAGGACTCAAATGCCTCTTTTGGCTCATTGAAAAGCAGAAGCTCGCGAAAACGTGGCACTTCCAATAGAAGTTCAGCCGATGGACAACAGAATGAATCCAAACGAACCAAGCCAACAGAGCAGGATAATAATGGCTGCAGTTTGCGCACTCGATCCAAGTCGTTGCATGATCCGAATCCGGATGTGCCGCCGCGCACCCCACGTGCGCGTAGCATCTGCCCCGCCACCATGCTCAGTCAAAATGAGCCTGCAGAGCAGACCCCACCCAGCAATGAAACAAAGACCCCCGCTCGCCGTCGCTCGGTCGCTACATTTAAGCTGCATCCGACTGATGAATTCTATCGCTTGCCCTTTAAGTACGGCTGGAAACGTGAACTGGTCCTGCGTAGTAGTGCATCCTTGTCGCGTCAGCGGGGTGACGTTATATTTATATCGCCGGGGGGCAAGAAGCTGCGCTCCCGCGAGGACATCGTTCCGCTGCTGAATGGCGAGTTGACCATCGATCATTTCTGCTTTCAGCGCCAAATGCAGCAGGTCGGCGAAGAGTTCGAGACGGTGCGTCAGGCACAGCCTGCCCCGTTGCGTCGGAAATCCTTAGCTGTCGCCAAGCAGCAGCAACAGTTAGCCAACGTCAACAACCAACAACTCCCGCCAGTGCCTGCACCCGTGTCTGGTAAGCGTGTGCCCAAGCCTAAGGTTCCCAAAGGCGCTAGCCCTCCGCCTGAGGGTTGGACTTCCACCATGGCGGTTAAGGGAAATGCTCGCGTGTTGGCAGCTAGCAATGGTAACACCAGCGGCGGCTCCGGCTCTGGAGCTGGAAACAGCGCTCGCAAAAGAAGGTAAGCTGCTGCTTCAAATGCTTCAACATATTTTTTCGTGTCTTAGTTTCTCACTGATTCCCCTGCTTCAGCAGCAACCAGGCAAAGCAACCAGCTAAGCCAACACCAGATCCAACTGTGCAGGCAAATATTCAACCCCAGTCAGGTAAAGGCAAGACGATGATCTGTGTGTATTGCCTTAAGCTAATCAATGAGAAGCAGCAGGCCTATCCCGTCGGAACCGCCAGTGTCAACAGCTACATCTGTATGGTGAGTAGTAGCACGCCGATTCAGTGCTGTCAGGAAAACTGATCTGCATCTTCATTCTTGCCTATCCAGCAATGTGTTAAACCCAGTAGCAAAGCTGCCAATTTGCAGCAGGCCGCTAAAGGACTAACAGTGGAACAGGGACCTACCAACTGCACCAAGAAGCAAGACTCGATTGATGAGAATCTATGCACTGATACCAAAGCTTCTGCCAGTGTGGATGCTGACAAAAATATGAATGCAGACGTCGACGCCAATGGCAATGGCAATGGCGGCCTGCTGGAAATTGGTGGAGAGATTGAACTGCCGGGCGCACTGCCGCCGGACCAGTTGCTCAGCGATGAGGTTCCTGCAAGTCGTGCCGGTAACAAGATCACGCCCAAGCCACTGGAAGTCGTTGTCATTAACGGTCGCAAGGCTCTGGCTATTGCTGGCGAGCCGCCGTGTCCGCGTATACAAGTGTGAGTCCGCAACGAAGGCAAACAACATCCGACGCCCAGTCCTCCTCACTTCTGCTCTGTTCAGTTCGGTTCAGTTCCATTGAAGTATAGATAATAATTACTCAATAGCAATGAATCCTACAATCATTCTGGTTAAAACGAAAAAAACAGTTGTCGATATACAAACGGAAAACTCGGCAGAATAATTAAGTGTTAATTGAAAAATAATTTTAAAAAAATTAAAATTCTTTATCTCCAACAGTTTTAGAGATAAGTCAGGTTGATTACTGGTGACCTTTAAAGAACGAGCCATAATTGTTCTTTCCACGCCTAAGTCCACAATTTGCTAAAATACATTTTTCCTCAATTCAGGGTCAAAAGGTCTTTGCATTGGATATCAGTTAAAGTTATCCCTGTAAGGGTAAAGTGGCTTTTTCAACGTTTCTGAATATAAATAGAAATTAGGTGTTTAGTTAACCGAGTTTAGTGTCTAAACGTTTGCAAAATATAGAATGAAGTTAAGCTATCAATTTGGGTTAAATTCTGAATGTCTCCAATTATAAAATTAAATCTTATATCCGTCTTCTTTTCAGCTTGCCACGCGAACCGGACTTGGAGATTTATGAAAAATATTTTCTCAAGCGCAACTGCACGGCTAAGGAGAAGCGTCAAAATTTCGTTGAATGCATTTCTGCTGGCAACTTAAGCTGCCAGGTGATGTCGGCTGTTATGAAGACGCTGGATTTGCATGTAAGTTTACATAATACAGTATCATTTACGATCTGACATAAACTGATTCTCTATGCCTTCGCAGGATCGTGTGCGTATGTCAAACGTATGCAAGACATGGTCGATGATTGCCCGCGACCGTAGCGTGTGGCGTACATTAAAGCTGCGTGACACGCTTATAACGAACTGGTTGTTCCTTTTGCGAGATATGGTGCGATATCGCACCCGCGAACTGGATATGATGGGGGTTAAAATGACTAATCCCAAGATGCGCCTGGATGGAGATTTGCGTGTGCTAAAAGCATTGCGCGTTCTGCGCACTGATGCTTGCGAGGCGGAATTTATCCAGTCAGTTATTAAATGTATACCACGTCTGCTGGAGCTGCGCACCACATGCACCAGTCGTGCACTCAGCCTAGCTAGTATGAAGAAGATGTTGGAATTGCGCGTGCTGCGCATTCGCATGATAGAGCCCAAGGCCAGCATCTTTTCGTTGCAGCCGCTGCAAAATTTAGAACAATTGAGGGAGCTGAGTCTACGCGGCATTAACAACATGGCGCAGCTGGAGCTGTTGCAGCTGCAGGGATTGAAACTGCTCGAGACGCTTGTGTTAGGCTCCTGTCGCGGTATGAAGGCTACGACGTTTGGGCAGCAAGTGCTACCGAGACTGAAGCGTCTTCGCCACCTGCGCCTAGAAAACCACCACAGCAATCGCTCCTTTAATATCAACGAGATCATGGAAGGCATCTCCGCAGGCGGCAGTGTAAAACGTGTCGAGCTCATCAATGTCAACGTGGATGCAGAACTTAGCCGTCAGTTGGCAGCTTGTAAATCGGTCCAGGAGCTACTGCTCATGCCAAACTTCCATAATAATACGGCCTATATGATGTGTTACATCATGCAGGCCATCAATGAAAACAGCGAACAGCTCAATGTATTCCGTCTGGGTCTTACTTACGAACTTCTGAGTGTCACTCGTGCGTTGGCCATGAACCAGGAGAAAGACTGTATTCCGGTCGCACTGCCGATACCAGGTGTGCCTGACAATGATATACTAAATGAGTCCGATGAGCCAATCGCCTATTTGCCGGTCGATCGCCTGGAGTCCATTCTACACCATATGATGCCTCAGGCCTGGCTGACAGTCGCCAAGGTTTCCCAGAGCGAGACAACTAATCTTAAATTCCTTCCGGCTTCACCGAATGACACGTCTGGAATTTCTCATGATTAAATTTGTTTCCATCGCAACCTTATATATTTAATCAATATAGATATATCTATTTATATATATGTATTGTATATTTGTATATATGTATATATCTATATATATATATATATATATATATATATATATATATATATATTCTATACATAGTATATAATCTTCAGGGTGTAAGAATGAGGGCGAGTACCGTCACGTTTATACCGTAATGCCGCCCGGCTGTTCTTTGAGAGAAAAAAGACTGAGTCTTAATTTCAACATCACAAGCTACACAATACCTTGTAGCTGAAGCCCAGAGTATTTTAAGTTATAAAAGCGTGTACATTACACGATGTACACGATCCATTGTTTTCGTAAAAGAAGCGTTATTTTAACACGTTAAATACATGAAAATACAAAGGAAAACAACACGTTTGTTTTTTGTAAAAAATTAAAACGTTTTATTTTAATATAGCATTTAGCATTTAAAAACATACGAATATATATAAATCTAATACATATTTTTATTACTGAATTTGCGTAATTTATGTGTACATATTTTGTTTTTGTACAAATGAAGAATTAAGATTACGCATTGTATAAGTTTTGTGAAATGCACAACTATTTTAAAATACTTGACAATCATGATCTTTTTAGATTGTTTAATCGGGCGTGTGGGTATTTTGTATTTTGTGCGTAAGTATATTAGTTGTGTACATGGAGAGGTCCTGGCAAAGTGGGCTTTCACAGTGTGCAGTACACATATATGTGCAATATAAATGTTACAAAAATAAATATGTGTATAGAGTAATACAAATGTGTTATAAATATAAAATATATATACATTTATGTTTTTAAGTAACTAGTCATCGTGTCAAATGAGTGACAGCATGAACACGTTTATCCTGGCAATTGGGAATGGACAGGCATTATTTCTGAACCGTTCGACTTTTTGGGACTCACAAGTATTAATTGATTGAACGGTGTGAGAAAAATCCAAATTGTGATTAATGTATGTTAACTTTCTCGGAAGCAAGAGAGCCATGCCCTTTTAAGCCCTTAGGCACAGAGTGTGCCATATATATAGCAATATTTGTATAGAACAATAAATGATCCATTGTTTATATATATATATATAAAGAACCTTAAAAATCTAGTATATTTAAGTTTACTTAGTCGCATAAATGCAGGGTAATTATGTTTTGGCTGAACAAGTCGAGAGCAAATGCAAGGATAATATGATTGAATTAGTTTGGGTAATGAGTAATAGGAAATGAATAAACTTATCGGCCGCCCCTTCCGACAAACCAAATAAAATGTATATTGCTAAGTGGTAAGCCAACGGGGCCATTCTGATCAGCATGACAAGCCGAATCCGTGGTGATGCGAGTAAAGCTGCCCAGAGGATGCGTGAGGGAAATGGGCTGAATTAGTTCTGATCCGAGAGTAAGCCCTTTCTTGTAGCGCAGTGTTATTAAAGGTCATATGTTGCGGTATATAAAGCATAAATTAGGGAGAGTAAGGAGGGGCTAAGATGCACAGCAAATGATACTTGAGGATGTTCAATATATGCCACAACCCAAAGATGGTAGAAAAATAGCATAGAATAAAGCCTAAAAATTACACGTGCTCAAGCCAATAGATGGCCTACATCAAGTGCACTTTGGACATGTACATGGACAACCTGAGGCTAAGGCTATGCGCGACTTAAAGCTAATTTGTCATTGGTCCGGATCGCAATGGCGATCAGTTGTATTCGGGCTTGGGAAAATAGTCGGGCACAAAGATGTGCACAATGATGCCGGTGGTCATGAGCGCAAAGTAGAAGAGCACAGCCACCCACCAGAGTATGCGCTCCCAGCGACGCACTTCCAGATTGCGCAGCACCCCAATTCCAACAAGTAGGCCAGCAACGGCCCCAGACAAATGGGCTACGTATCCAATTTGGTCATGTTGATCAGTCAGATGGCGGTACACGGACGTGCCCAGATCGGTGAAGCAGAACACAAGGAAGGCAAGCAGCTGCACAATCGCGTACTCCATTTCCGAGTAGTTCTGCAAACATAGATGGGATTCGAAATGTGAGTTGACACTAAACGTGTTATGCCGTGCTATATGAAGACTTGCCATGATGATCGTCGCAATGTGCGCAGTGATAAGGGCATATACACCGCCGGAGGCGCCTGCCAAAAAAATTCGTGGACTGGTCAGCGAGGTGCCCATTGATCCGGCCAGTACGCCGGCCAAGTAGACGAGCGCCACACGCCACCAGTGATGCACCAGCTCCAGGGCAATGCCAAGGAAAATCTGTATGATCAGATTCATCATGAGGTGCATAATGCCCACGTGCACAAACATATAGCTGAGAAAGCGCCACGACTCGTAGCGCTTGTACGGATTGTAAATGAAGAGCGTCGCCGCTGGTCCGTTAGTGCTCTCGCCCAGGCGCTGGTTGTGGTTCGGATCGTCCCTGTTAGCACAAAGATTTGGCACAAATCAATAAATCATTCAAGCAAATTGGTGTCAACAGGGAACTCACTGAAAGTAGATGACGTCCACCAGAAACATAATGATCTCGATGATCGAGAAGATGACCATGGTCAGCGGCGGCGGGCAGATGGACATTTGTTTTTCGTACGCACCGTCCGGCTCATCGCCCTCCAATGGCTTTGGCGGTGGCACCACATACCGGCAATATCTGGTCAGCATATTGCGTATCATCCATTTGTGGTGCAGCGACATGGTATAGAACTCGTCAAAGTCCAGGTGCCCATTGTTGTCCACGTCGCTCCTGTGCAGTATTTGCTCGGCAATGTACGCCGGTATGTCCCGGCAGTAGCCATCCGATATGAGACCTTTCAGCTCGTGTGTGTTGATAAGCCCATCCCTGTCCGAGTCGTGCTGCACGAAAAGGCAATAACAAACTTGTCTATTAATCAAAAGTTATTCAAATGAGCTGCACCTAAGCCTGATCTCTTATATTTGACCTGATTTTCTCTAACAGCAAGTACATACATACATGTATATTCTTCATCATTATCAAAGGACTTGTCGATATGGAGATGTGCGTCTCAGTCTCAGTCATGCTCGGCTTTCTGCTGCAGACAGTTCATATGCATGCCAGAGCCAGCCGGATCGGGCCTTGGGCATTCGAAAAGAGTATGAAAACAGTTTTTCGTGCTTTAAGATACAAATCTTGTCCAACTGTCTTCTCACGTATCTGCAAGAGGGTAAGCTGTGTGCCTACAAGGGTATTTAATCTTCGGTGTGCTGCGATTTCTTGTTCGTTTAAGGAACATGCTTTGCCCACGCAATAAATATTGGCCGCTTTTATTTGTTTGAATAGAACAACAATAATTTATAAAAATTAAGAAAAAGACAACAATGTGTTGCAAAATCTGATTTTCATTATTTTCGAAAATGAATCAATTTAAAATAATATTCATATAATTATTTCTAATTTAGGGTGACGGTATCCCATACTCTATCCCACAATACTAGTTCCGACGCTAAAAATATTGATCCGTTTTCGAACCGGTTCGAACCAAACCGGAAGCATTCGAGCGATGTGCCTCGATCAAGTAAATATCATACGGGCGAGTCGTTGCTTTGACGGAATAAGAAATATTTTTGTATTTCAAATATGACAAATACTTTTGCATCACTCATAAGCCTAGCTTATACCAAGTTTGATTCAATCGAGATATTACAAATTAAATGGAAGATAACTCAAGGTTCATTTAGTTTTCATTTAGATAATTTTGAAGTTGTGCCTCAGCATTTTTCAAAATCAATTCCCCTTTTCCCACCTGTGGAAAACTAAAAGGTTCTTTTGTTTTACATAAGTAGATATTTGAAAATTAGTATGAGATCGATCGAAGTTAAGATTCAAAATATGGAAATATTTAGCCTTGTGGTCCTATATGAAATGATCTTATGCCCGGAAATTGCGCATTTTCCTTTTAGCAAAAAGATTGAAGCACGTTTCTCGCGTTTAATAGGAATCCTTGGAAGTGACCCCAAACTAAACTCAACAAATTTCTGATTCCCACGGAGGGAGTTTCCGCGCTTTTTCCACACGGATAGAATTTCCGAAAACCCCTTCAATTCGTTATATGTTTCACCAAATTTGTAATACATTTGATACGTTTGGCACCGACTCGAGTAGGCGACGTTGGGATGCTTTGAAGGGGCTCTCGGATGTGTCAGTTTCATCCAGTAATAGTCATTTAAGTTGTACGGCAAACATCTCGGAACAAATAGCAAGACATCACTAGAGCTGAGGCGTGAGCTTTGTGCTTCGTAGGGCCAGCAACAGCATTCAAATAATTACAGGTGGGGGCGTGGCCAAACCCGATTAGTCTCTACCCCTCTAATAGCTGCCGTAGTTCTCATAGTTCCGGTTGTACTCTGTGAAGTTGCCATTGCAGAATGACGCATTTGTGGCGGACGAGCAAGAATATGGTTGGCTGGTTGCTGGGCCAGCAGCCGGAGCAGTGCAACTGTGATTGGCCGGATGAGGATGAGGCCGAGGTGCAGGAGTCTTCGGGCGTTGGCACAGTCATAGTCATATATACGGCCCTGGCGGGTCTGTTTATTGGGGCGAATCTCTTGCCCAGCCAGGTGACCCAGAGCCCACCGGCGTTGCGGGACCGAGACATACGCAAGGAGCAACAGCGGCGCCGCAGCAAGCAGCCGCCCAACGATGTCAACAGGCGATCGAGAAGGAAACAGCCGCTGGACAATTTTCATGATGCGCTGCAGCCGACCGCAGAGGAGGAGGCCCAGTGGCTGAAAAAGAGCGACCCGGGCAAAAAGAGCGCCAAGGAGGTCTTCTTCGATGTGACCAATGACAACAGTGAAAAGGATCATTTCATCGACGTCCATGAAGAATGAGACTGACTTGTAGCCAACACATGCGAACACTAGCTACCTTTTCCGATATCGTTTCCCATTTGCAATATCCCAAATTTTAAATAAATGTTAGCTCAGCTTGTCTGAAGCTTAGATTCGAACACCTGCTGGCCATAAAGTGCGTAATGCACATCAAGTTGATGCAACAAGCCACGCCAAATGTGGCCAAGGCTAGTCGCAACAAATGGCCAGGCCAGGCAGCTAATAAAATGCCCAAATCGGATCGAATGCATTCCAGTATTTGCTAAATCCGTCAAAACTGCATTTCGAATCGAGGCTAAAGCAATGGCAAGCTCTTGTCCAAAACGTTTCTACTCTCACGTCAATTGGCGAAACAAGAAAAGTATTGAGAAAAATGTGTGTTAAAAGTCTTGGGCACGCCCACTGAAGGGCGGCCAAATCTAGATAATGTGTATTTTCCCAAGTTTTAAGGCTAGCGTCTCAAAATGTTGCGGGTAGATCAATCAGTTGCCACAGATAAATCAGACATTTCGTCTCTTATAGCTGTTTTTTTTTTACCGCTTAGTACTTGGGTACCAAATGGCTATATGCACGTATGTTTGCGTTTATAAGTGCAGACCAAGGCCAACGGCAACAGGTGGATGTATCTAGCCACCTGCATTTGTCGATGTGTCTCAGGTTTGGGAACAAAGCAGGCACACGCCAAAAACTGTTGCGATTGGGTGTGGACATTCGAGAGAGAGAGTGGTGGATGAGGGGGGGGGGGGGGGGGGGGGGGTTTGTATTAGAGAAGAGTTAATTACAAAAATAAGTCACTGAGTCACAAATTGCAGTCGGGCAGATGTACAGTCAGTCCTGTATGTGTGCCCATATATACCTTGTGTGTGTATGTGTGTATGCATGTATGTGCTTGTGTGTGTGTGCGTAAGACCATGAAATGTTTGGCGTTTGGGGTTACGCGCCACTTGAAAGAAAAAAGCCTCTGGTCGAGCAAAATTGATAAGATTGCGAAGAAATATTTCGATATTGGTTTGACTTCTTGTCCACTGCTCAAATGCTCAAAGCGAACAACTTGGCAGAACACGGAATCTAGACTGTGCTGATAATAATCAGCTAACCCCATACCAGATACACCAGATATTAATAAATGGGCGTTAAGCACGAGCTAGAACTGCCCAGCAAAAGAAAGCTTACACAAAAGTAGCAGAAGAAGAATCAACGCAAACGGGTTAAGGCAAAAAAAAAAAAACAAAAACATCAACAACAAAATGATGAAGTGCAATTTGTGTTGTTGTCTCAGTTGCCAGGGGCCAATGAACGAAAGGGGCCGGCGAGCTTAAGACAATGAAGGGGGAAAAGAGACAGAGCGAGCGAACGTGCGAAAGAGAGGGGGTGGAGGAAACGGGGCAATTCGACTAGAATCCAACTAATAGAATGGAATGCTGTTCAGGAGAAACACCACACAAAGCAAAACAAAAAAACGAAAGACATTCAAGGGTTTGAGAGAAGGTAAGGTGATAATGAATAGAAAACAATGCTAAATGCTAAAAATTAAAAAAATGGCAATAACAATTTCGTGCGAGTGACTAAGACCAAATCAACTTTTTGACAGCCAAGAACAATATAGCAGCAACAACGACGACGACGACGACGACAGAAATCCCCACAAATAAATTCATACACACATGTACATAGCCACATTTGTGTGTGTGTGTGTGTGTGTGTGTGTGCATGTGCATGTGTGCATATGTATGCATGTATGTACATATAACCGGTTGTTTCTCTCTTTACTCGATAAGACATTCGTATTTCCCTCAGTCAGCTTGTTGTTATTGTTGCAATGTTAAGCAAAAACAAACTGAGAAAGGCACACAAAAAATGTTAACGGTGAAATATGCAAAAGTGTGAAATTGAACGAATGCTCTGTTTGGAGATGTAGACGTGACATTGATAAGCTCGCCCATGTCCACAACGGGAATCTGCAAATAACACGCAGCCGCAGCGGCGACGGCAGCGGCAGTTTGGGGAGCATGCATAAAAATAGAGCGTGAGAGAGTGAGCAATGCACAAGAAAAACCGCAGTTTGATGACTAGGGCGAGCCAGCCCAGCAGTCGGTTGAGGGGAGGGGAAACAAATGACGGCGTTGATGATTCACAACTGTTTGACACGCGCAACTCTGTTGAACTTTCACCAAGAGCAAGGGGACGCGTAAATACTGGCGTTTCGGATAAAACAAGAATATTCATTCATGCATACGCTCGCATACGCAGAGACACCGGCAGAGCCAAAGAGAGAGAGAGAGAGCGTAGAGAGAAAGAGAGACATTTGGCTTACCTTGTCGAATATTTCGCGCATTTTTCGACGATCCTCTGGCTCCTGCACTGAATTGGAGTGATTAAGTGGTATCTCCTCCATATCAATGGTGTCCTGACGCAGCGTTGGCGGCCGCACTGGACGTGATGGCGATCGTCGCTCGGGCGGTATATTTGGATAAATCCCATTTTCAACATCCCGTTGGTGTTGCTGCTGCAGCTGCTGGGCGGGCGTTTGGCTCTGCTGGCGCGATACCGATTTTACAGGCATTCTCTCTGTCACTTCGCGGAACAGTGGGACGGGGGGGAAAATTCGTTTGTTTTATTTTGCTTGTGGCTCGGTTTGTTGTTACTCTCTTGTGCTTATGGTGCTATTTCAATGTTAAGGCCAATTGTAACGCGGCGATGACACTTAGTAATAACTTGTGCTTCGACTCATGCTTGCGATAAGATTATTAGTTGGCCATAAAAACTGTCAGGCACTCACAACCACAGGCGAAATGAAATGCAGTTTGAAATCACACAAACAACAAAAATACTTAAAAAAAATAAAACAAATAGGAGTCAAAGGTACCGCACTAACCAAGCTAAACGCGTCCGCACAGCTTGCTCATTCGAAATAGAATGAGAGAGAAAAGGAATGAAAGAGAAGAAATTGAATGAAACACTGTGCAGCTAACGCATATGTTAACTCACAATGCGCTGTTGCGCTAGCTGGTCACACTGCTTATGCAATTCTGTAAACTGGGGAGTATTCTGTTAAATGGTATTGCCACCCTGTCGTCCAAGGCAGCTTCTGGCAGCACCGTTGTGTTTTGAATTTTGTCTAACGGACCAAAATTTAAATATTGTTGACTTCTTTTGTATTTGTATTTGCTTGCCGCTTTTTATTTATTTATTTGTTATATCCTACAATGCTGGGTAATCCGTGTCTATTTCCTATTCAATTTTGCCTTCTAATTTCATCGCATTCTGCTGGTTTGTGGTCTTAATCAACCTCTTACACCGCACACATGCATACATACAATTTACTAAATTTATAGGTTTATAAATTAGTTTTCATATTTATTTGATTTTTGTTTTAATACGTATAAATAAAAACTTAAACAAATTTACTGCACACACATTTTTATATCTTGCTGACTACTCAAAAAAAAAAAATTATTTGAAATATATTTTTATATTGTATGTTTGTCGTGTTTTAGAATCTTTCAAGTATTCAACATTGTGTAACATAGTTTGCTAATTTACTTGACGCCGTTCGTAGCATTTCCTTAATAAAATTGTTGCACTTTCAACAAATTTTTATAAATGTTTATATATTAAATATTCTTGTCTAAAATTTGCAACTATTTCGTTTTAGACTTTTAGTTTTCCTCTTGAGTTTTGCTTTCTGTTTTCGTTCTCGATTTTGCCATTTACTAAACGCGTTTTAAATAATTAATTACAACATTTATATCTTTTTTTTTTGAAACAGCTACGCGTTGTCTGCTTCTTCCATTTCGTGTTTCTCTTAGCCTAATGCCTAGTTTTCAATAGTTTATTGTTTATTTTCTGTTTCTTTTACTTTTCCATTTTTATTTTTTAGTTTTTAGTTTTTAGTTTTTAGTTTTTACAGTGCCTATTTAAGATGGCTACTCTTTCATATTTCATATTTCATATATCATATTGTATTGCATACTATTTATTTGCTTGCTGGCGGAATGTTGTTTATTTTTTTTTCTTTATTGCATTTTGGGTGTTTTGTTGTTTTTGTTTTTGTTTTTTTTGTTTTGGATACTCGTATTTCGTATTCGTATTTCTTCTGTTTTATTTGGCAATGACGTACTGATTCTGTTGTTTCCCCTTCATCGTTTTATTCTTGTTTACAACTCTTCCTGCTTTTGCTGCTCTCACGTAGCTTTTTATTAAAAATTAATCGCATTACTGCATATAATTTATTTGTATATTTATATGTATAGTTTATGTATATATTTATATAAAGTAAATAGATTACGTAATTGTAACATTCGCTTGCTTCTGCCCATGCACTTCCATTGGCTGCTCTCTATCTCTTCTCTCTCTCTCTCTCTCTCTCTTTCCCTTTCCCTCTCTCAACTCTTACGCTATTTTGTTTCAACATTTGCTTTTTCTTAACGGATTGTTTTTGTTCTATTAAAGGATGGGTGTTCCGAGATGGGGTTCGATTTCGATTTCGATTTTGATTTCGATTTCGATTTCAATTTCGATATCGATTGCGATTTAGAGTACAGACTGGCCAGCGTTACAAAAACTGAAACTCTTTTTATTTTTCTTTTTTTACAATTTCAATTCGCCCTTGAAATTAAGGAAGTGCTAAACAAATTCTTATCAAATAATCATAAAAATTGGGGGAAAAAAAATATAAAAAAAAATCAATTTAAAAGTTGAATAACAATTTTTGTGAACATACTTAAGTAAAAGGAAGTTAAAAAACAAATATGGAATGCTTGAAATATTAGGAAAAGTTTGTCCTGTCCACAAACAAACAATTTACGTAGATACATTCATAAATAATACGAGTATATGGGAACGGGCTAAGTACGAGTTAAAAAGTAAGTAAATAGGCAAAATACATATGCAAGTACATATATGCTCAATTATACAAATTGCGGAAGGATGCCCTGTGTCCCGATCCGGTGACAGCAGCTGCTCCACCTCCAAATGGTTGAGTTGAAACGTATTTACAAAGCGGGCGCTGGCTCATCGTCGGTAAGTGGTAATTGGCTGGATGCGGGGCTGAGGCAGGGGCAGGAGCTGTGGCTGGGGCAGGGGATGGTGATGGCGATGGCGATGAAGATGCGCTGTGGCCGGTTCCGAGGCTATTATGATTCGTCACGATTGTTGTGCACCCACTGGGCCGGCACCCATTGCGGTTCGCGCTCCAGCGAGTTGATCTCCGCCAGCAGTTGGTGGTAGGCGCGCTCCGTATCATTGTTGATGATGATCATGTCGAACAGATGACCCCAGCGCGCCTCCATGTCCCGCGCGGTTGCGATGATGTCCTTAAGTTCCTCTTCCTGTGCGTAAGAAGAAAACAAGAAATATCGATTTATCGAAAAGGTTTTACAATAACAACAATGATTTGAAATAACGATAACGATAAGCGACTTGACAGACTAAGTAGCTGATGTATTATCGGTACAAATGTGTTCTAGGATGAAAACGAGAATATCTTAGGAAAAAGATTCTTTAAAACAATCTGGCAAATGTTTGCGACACTCGATCAAAATCTTTGGATATATCGATTTTGGGGTATTTTCTCTTACGCAGATCCACACGAGTATACATTGTATATCGAAATTAGCAAGACGCACATTTTGTAAAGCGAATGCATAAAGATTGTTTGATCAGACAACAATGGTCAAACGGCGTTAACGATAAGGATAAAGACTATAATGATAACGATAACGATAACGATAACTATGACGATTTCGATAACGTACCTTAAACGGTTCGCCATTGCGCAGCTTCTTCTGCCGCAGCTTATCGAGGCTTGGCGGCGCCACCAGCACCACATAGGGCTTAAGGTCGGAGGCGCGTAACAGTTTCAAGCTCTGCGGATGCAGGTTCAGCACACAAATCTTGCCACTGGCAACGACTGTGCGAATGGCCTCAAGTGAGGTTCCTGCAAAGAAACATATGGGAAAACAATCAGTCAATCAATCGTCCCAGAATGGCTGCCTCTTTGGGGCGTGGCAAACTTACCGTAGTATGCTTTCTCATACTCGCCGTGCTCGACAAAGCGACGTGCCAGAATATCCGCCTCGAAGGCCTGGCGCGTTATGAAGTGATAGTCCACGCCGGGCACCTCACCCTCGCGCCTGGCCCGTGATGTATCTGCATAATTGAAAGAGAGGAGAAGCAAAGGAGCAATGGATGAGTTGATGCATCTATTGGATCACAGTAGGATTAGGGGGAGGGGGCAGTGAAAGAAGCCAGCACTGAGAAAAGACGCATCATAAGCATTGGATATTTATTGAATTGATCTCTTCCCAACTGGGAATCATCAGTTCTCGCAGGATTGTTGCTTTACATGCAGCTAATGGACTTTACTCAGTGTAAGGGTAATGCTAGCAATGCGCTGGGAATCAGTTGCGACTGCTTTACCCTTGGCTGCTGGTTTGAGCTTCTCCTCAAGCAAGTAGAAAACTGCGAGAGAGAGAAAGTAAGATAGACAGACAGAGAGAGAGAGAGACAGAGAGAGAGAGAGCGAGCAAACAAGAACAGGGGCAGAGTGTCACGGAACTCTACTTACGTGGCACTGCCGCCGAGAAACGCTCGGAGTCGGCCATCAAGCGCTGGCGCAGCTCATGTCGGCCAATGTTGGGCGGGCCGATGAGTACAATAGGGCGCTTGTGGGTGGCGCGGGGATAGTAGAGCGCCACCTCCTCGTAGGTGAGTATCTCCTCGGGATCCGTTTCGTCTGGCGCCGTTGTCGCGTACAGCGGATAACTGCAAAAGGATTCGAATATAATCTCGGCTGACTGAAGGTTCGGCTGCCCTGCCATCACAACTTACCCCGCTTCGGAGCTAGCCTTCTTCTTCTTCTTGCGACCCTTGCGGGCACAGAGGAGCGTAGCGCCCTTGCTGGTGGCACCCTCTTTGCCACGTGAGCGAGCCAGACCCGCCTCCTCGGCAATAGCTAGTTTCATGGTCTCGCGCTGATGCTGGAAGGACTGACTAGGAATGAGGCCGGCTAGCGTTTGATCCTCTTCGCCCTCACGATACGCCTGCCACCAGTTGGGGTCCTCGCGGGAGATCACATGCAGCACATCACCCTTTTGGAAGCTTATACCCAGCTCCCGGCACGGTATGTACAGATCATCCTCCGGATCGTAATCAAAGTGGGCACGCACGTGCAGCACGGCCGTATCCCGATGCGCCATGCCACCCACCACATGATGCATGCCCAGACCGCTGCAAAGGCCGCCGCCTGGCGGCGGACTGCCGGCAGGCACAATCAAAAACGTGAGGGTGCCCTGCATGGCACCCAGCAGGGCGCACACCTCGTTCACCGTTTTGCCGCGCAGCTCCTGGCCGTTCACTTCCAGAATCTCGTCGCCCTCATGTAGCAGTCCGGACTTCTCAGCGGCACCGCCACGCACAATGCGCCCGATGACCACGGCCTCGCCCTCGTTGCGAACGGTCGCTCCCAGCGGCTCCGTCGACTTTTCGATCTGTATGATCCGTATGTTGTCGTTCTGATCGTTCAGTGTGCCAAAGCATGCGCTCATGCCAGGCGGCGACTCGCCGCGCACCGCCACCGCCGCAGGCAGCGGCATTGCGCCACGCTGGGCCACCGATGAGGCTGGCACCACTGGCGGCAGCACCGCCATGCTTCTGCTGCTTGCCGACACCTTGGACGCCGGCACGGGACTACTGTGGCCGCTGAGCGTGGTGGTTGTGACCGTTGGCGTATGCGACGGCGTCGGCATTGTGCCCGTCGGCGAAGGTGTTGCATCCGTGTGGCTGGCGATGCGATCGTGCGCCAGCAGCAGGCCCTCCATCTCGTGGCTGGTCAACAGGTTTCCCAGCTCAATGGCCGCCGCTGTGTTCGACTGCGTCAGCAGCTCCACGATCTCCTTCTGCAGGCCCAGCGCGCTAACGTGCAGCGGGCCCGCCACCCGCGGTCGCCTGCGCTGCAGCACGGCGCTCCTGGCGGCAAGCACATGCGCCACACTGGCGCTGGCCAGGACGTTGTGTGCTGCCGAGACACGGCCCGCTAGCGTGCTTAGCCCGCTCTTCGCCAATTGGCCCTGGAGACGTGTTAACGCCGCGATCAGCTCACCGTAGCCTGTAAGAAATATTTGCAATTAGCTGCATGCAAATCCTTAGTTGGACCCTTGAGCTGGAAGTGGCTGCGATCTTAGTGTCAATGTAATATTTCAATGGATTGAGGCTTTCTTGGGAATGGTGTGAGCACCTGGTCAGAGAGTTTGTTCTCCCAGCTCCGATCAGGGCTTCTTTACCTGGGAGGTGGGTGCAACTCTTCCCACTAAGCCCTCCAAGCACAATAGACTGTCTCGCTAGCAGAGTCGTTCTCTCTCTTTGGTAAGACATTTTCACATTAATTTGCATTATTATTATGGACTAAGGACCTACTGGTGTCTATCTGGTCTATCTGTCAAGTGGATAGCAACAAAAAGGGGTTGGCCTAAGCTACTTAACGCAAATCAACAGGAACTCCATAAGAGCCATCCTAAATCCTGATATTATAATTGGGTAGGTGCTCAAAAAGTGAAAAACTATTCTATATTTATAATCTACTTGTTCCCTAATCGATCAACATTTCATTTCGCTAACAAAATATGAATTACTCCTTCGGAGCTGGGTTCATGTGTGTGGAAAATTAGGTTCTCCAATCTAATTATGATTTCTTTTCGTTGGCTATTTACTTTTGTTAAAATTTAGCGGCGAGTTTAACTATCTGCTTGGCACTTTCGAATAAAATAGAATTGCATTCTTGCCAGTCACTTGGAATCCTAAGATACAATATCTTCCGTTCGTTCAGGCTCGAATCTTTTGAATGTGGCTAAACTTTCCATTGACAGTCGGATAACCCTTGACAACTGCATGTCAACTGCATGTCAACTTGACTTGAAATCTGGTTGTATTATTATGTTGTATTATCTCTGGCCCCAATTTGTGCTCTGTCCTCGCACTTACCATCAATGTGCTCCGTTGGCGTGACATCCTCATCCGGCAGATAGGCCTCGTTTTCCACGCCGGCAATTGTTGCTGCCGTGGGTGTTGCTGTTGTTGCTTGCTGTTGCTGTGCCAGCGCCTTGCTAGCTGTGGGCGTGGCAGTAGCCGTGTCCTGGAGCGCCTTGAGTTTGCGTGAGCCGCGCAAACTGTTGCGCAGAAACTCATTCTGCTGGGCGATGCGCTCCTCCTCCTCGCGTCGACGTCGCAGTTGCTCCTGCAATTGCAAAAAGACCGAGACAGGGAGAGAGAGAGCGAGAGAGAGAGAGAGAGAGAGCGGTTAGTTGCGGAAGGTGTAAATTTGAGGCTTCAGTGCGCGTACTTAATCCGCGTCCGCGTCCATTCTGCTAATTGAATTAGCAGGCTGACAAAGAGAGCTAACAGAGCTGCCACGAATAAATGCATACCCTGCACTCGGAGGCATTCTATGGAAGTATTCAATTATGTGGTATATGCATTGCAAGCCGGCAATCTGCCACAAGCCAATGCCTTTCCTAGAAGAAAGCTTATGAGAGAGCTACGCGTGGCATGCAACAAATCCCTGAAGCGGGGCATGCAACAAGCACAATGGCGAAAAACTGCTTTGACCAGCAAGCTAATGATGGGCGGGGGGAAGGCTTAGTGAAACCTCGCAAGTGCTTGGCTCGGGTCGGATTGGGTCAGTGGGTTGACTAACACTTGCCAAACTGTGCCTACCTACCTAATTCGCACCATAGTGGCAACAAGGCCTAACACCCACAACTAATGACCACCGACCGCGCAATACTCTACGCACAGCTATAATCAGTTGAACTGAGTCTTCTTCAGTGTTGATGGGTAGACTTTTACTCTGTTACCGCAAGCCAATGTCTCTCAAACGGTGACTGAACATTGCACCAACCCAATATACTCTCTTGCATCTAGCGAACAGAGAATATAAATCGATATATATGTATATACGTATGCAAATGAGGTCTGGGAAGTACCACCTGCATTTGTGGAAGTAAGATCTGACTCAAATTCGCAATATCCACTCTGCTTGGATGGAAAATGATGTTGATGTATACTCCATGGAGCTAAGTCGATCCTCCGAAAATGAATTTCAAATATGTATCTGCAATGTCAAATTTAATTTGAGGCGTGGGATGTAAGCTTTTATAGGGTAGATTTAAATTTTTTAAGAAGGAAAATAGTGCAAAGGAGTGAAACCTAGAACTTAAAGTGCCAAATTTAGGACAAGGCCGGGAAATACACAATAGTATGTATATGCATGTTTCATATACATATTTAACTAAAAAATGTTCAATGCTTAGAAAGAGAAATTTCATATTCTATAGTTTACATACATATGTATGTATTTACATATGTACATACATATATAGGAAAGTCTGGTCATAAACACAAAATATGTTGTACTGTGGCACAGTGGAACGCTTACTTAAGCATATGTATGTACATATGTATGTATGTATGTATGTATGTATGTATTTTTGGCTTTCCACCTTTTAAGCCCGCACTTATTCCATTATTATGCATGTGCATACTAGCTTTACATATGCAAATGAAGAAGACAAATCCCAATAACGATAAATCGCTTGGTATTCTTATAAGTAAGTACTATCAGAAGAACTGTACGATATAGATATGTATGTACATACATATGTACATATGTATGAATAAGATAAGTTATTTCAAGCAGCGGCGTGTCAAAGTTACGTTTTGGGTTCCGCTCTAAACTTGACCAAGAAAGATAACAAAGCTGGCCAAGCACAGCTGGGACCTTGTCGCCGCTTTTCCCACACATTTATTCTCGGGGGTGTTCGTTCGGTGAAACAAAAAGTAAAAAACAAAAATGAAAAAGAAAAAGAAAAACTTAATTGAATAACAACAGAAAGGCGCTGCAAATACAAAATACAACAAAAAAAATAAGAAAAACGAAAAACGAAAACAAAAGCCACGCAAAACAAGTAAGAAGTTGCAGTCGGGTATAACCGACGGCGTGATACTCAAGACAGTTGAAGAACAGCTGAAGAGCCAGCGATTGTTATCGATATACAGGGTATCGGTCTTTAAAGGAGCTCTTCAAAAGACTGCAGACGATATAGACTTTCGCCAACACTTAATCTGCCAATAGACGGACGGACAGGACATGCCACAAGCCCAGCATACTCTTTTTTGCATTGTGAACAGAGACAAGAGAAGAAACTTTGCTGAACTTGCATAATGTGAATGCAGACGCGAACGAACGAAAAAGAATAAAAGAGACCAGAAAGAAGTGACAAAATAAGCAAAAATATTCAGACAGCATATGTTGACGAACAGCTGGTCGGTCGAAGCAGAGTGAGGGGGGGGGGGGGGGGGGGTGCTGGGGAATTCAGTCTGCTCGTAGCGTGAGTAAAAAACTATGCGAATCAAATGAAACTGGAAAGGCGACAACAACAACAAGAACAACAACAACAAGAGCTACACGAAATAGCGATGCGTTTAGCATAGAAGCAGGAACTCGAATGGCAGCAGATAAATACATATGTACATATATAGACAACAATTTGCAGAAGAAGAACAAACAACTATAATTGACATTGGCAAGCTAGAACTCGACCACCACATGCACACATGCACACATGCACACATGCACACATGCACACATGCACACATGCACACATGCACACATGCACACATGCACACACATATGTATGTATGTATCTATTTCGCTTCATTTGTATTCAATTTAAACTGAAACTGGCTTTGGGTTTATTTAGTTGATTCCACTTTTGATCTGTCGCAATACGCTTCGATCAGACTTAAATCCTACTAAACTTGCGACTCATCAATCAACAACAATAACAACAACAACAGCATTTGTAGAACAACAACTTTACGTTTCATTCTACTTGCTTCTACTTCTGGTTGTTGTTGTTGTTGCTGCTGCTGCGGACCATGACATCATCGTCACATCAACATCATGAAGCAACCTGCGCGTCGTCGGCCACAAAATAAATATTGCAAAAGCGCGTTAAACAAAAATTAAAAATTTATTAACATGCCTACTTTTGTTTTGCTTTTGTATTTATTGTTACTCTTGCTGAGCCAAACGGCCGTCTCGACTTTGTCGCAGTCTTTGCGACACGGCCCTTCGCGTTTGAAACAAACAGAATTGAAACATCGGAAAACAGTTTGGTATTTAAAGTTGTTTCGTCCGGTTCTTTCCAGTTTCAGACAAAATGGAAAACCTTATGTCCAAGCAATTGTCTATTAATTTGCTTAAGTCGCGTGGAATTGGAACAATTAAGGAACCGAAGAGTCAACATTTTCGGTTTGGTTTAGAAATCAAGCCCGCAATAAGATAAAACAAATTGAAAAAAATTCATAAAAAATATGTACAATACTGAAAAGAGTATAAAATGAAACCACAAATAAATCAAAGCAAGTAAACGAGATTTTGTCTTTACTAGATATAAAGTTGATAAAAAGACTTTGCAATTGATATTTAAAAGACAACTTTACTCTAGATGGACCAAACCCATTGAAAATGCTGCAAAGTAGCAAATTTATTTGGCTGTATGATAACGAGCACTTCCAATCCAATTAACCATATAAGAAGAACCTAATCAGTTAGATGCCGATCGATGCAACGGGCAGAGTATCAAAGTGTCGGCGTGCGCTGGCCAAAGAATTCGTTAGCTATCGCTGGGAAAGCTGTTGTTGTTATTGCTGTGGCTCTTACTGTCGTCGACCAACTGCGGCAGCCAGTTAGCCTAGTTTTCTGTTAACTGGTTGCCGTTTGCAGTTAGCATATTTGTAGGTGTGTAGATAAAGCCAGTTGGCGATAACAGCTGAAGGTTGCTGCCATTTAAAGGGAAAACCAACAGCAGCAGCAATAGCCCGAGTCGGTGCTGTGAAATATTTTTTTGGCTGCAATTTCTGCTGTTGCAGTTGCAATTTCTGCTGCTGCTGCTGCTGCCTGCCACACTTGCCTGTTGTTGTCGCAAACGCATCGAAGAGCGCTGAATTTGTGTGCCCCGACGCAAGGCGGAGGCGCTGCGGTACGGCGTGTTGCTGGCGGATGATCCCTGATGTTGTTGTGGTTGTTCGAATGTCCCTGTTGTGTTCGCATTGCCGTTCATATCACAATATTTGTTAATGTTGTTGTTGTTGTTGTTGTTGTTGCTGTTCAAATTGAAGCATTGCTTGTCGTTTTCCTTTTCAAACAGCATTTGCTGCTGCTGTTCTTTGCTGTTGCTGTTGTTGTTGTTGTTGTTGTTGCATAGCACATTCAACCTGGAAGGCGTTGTTGCTGCTGCTCCTGTTGCCTCAGCTGCCACACGCTGTTGCTGTTGCTGTTGCTGTTCGCCACCAACATCGTTGTCCATTCTTATGTGCAATGTCGACAAGACCATGTTATGGGATTTGATTGTGGTCGATAATATTTGTTTTATTTATTTATTTTTTTTTTTTTATTCGATTGTCAATTGAAGTTGAACTTTGTTTATTGTTGTTGTTGTGGCTGCATCGCTATGCTGAATTTTATTTTATACATTTTTACACTGTTTCGATCGCTGGGCACGCCCCAGCCCACACACAGCCCTCCCCGCGCTTTGTCGAGAGCAACTATGCAAATGGCCACGCCCCTCATTGACAGCTGCAGTGCATAAATTTGAATATAAACAAACTTTGGCTCCGCTTGGCTCCGTTTGGCTCCTATGCGTTTGTTTAGCACGAAAATGCAGCTTAATGCGCATTTAAATTCAGCTTTTGCTGCTGCTGCTGCTGCTGCTGTTGCAATGAAACTATGGCGAACGGTTTTTTCTTCTTTCTTTATGACACTGCGAATCGCAAGTCGAAATAAAAAAGCGAAAGCTGCTGCGAGCTGCGAGCAGCAACAACAATAATGGCAATAGTTCTGCATTCTGTGGTCCGGCCAACACACAGACACACACTTACACACACACACACGCACACGCAACAGCAGCCATCCCGGCAGCAGCAAGCGGCAACAATTTCATAGACTTTCCATTCAACAAGCACTCGCAACGCTCGTGCGATTTACAACTAGTACAAAAAGTTTTTACTTTTATGCATTAATTTATTTATTTACATATTTTTGTTTTGTTTTCATTCAATTGCTGTTGCTGTTGCTGCCGTTGCTGCCCTTTACGTGCGTCGCGTTGCAAATGAGACGCTGACGTCGCCGGCGCTGCTGTTGCTGCATTTTTATGTCGACGTTCACAAAATAAA